GACGAGGGCGAGGACAGAGACGAGGAGGAGGAGAGGAGGCGAGAGGGGGAGGTAGTGGAGGAAGGAGGAGTAGGAGGAGGATGAGGAACGAAAGGAAGGAGAGGAGGAGGGGGTGGAGGGGGAGGGGAGAAAGGGAGAGAGGGGAGGAGGAGAGGAGGAGGAGAGGAGAGGAGAGAATGAGGAGGAGGAGATGGTGAGGAGAAGGAGGAGGAGGAGGACGAAAGCAAGAGAAGGAGAAAGAGGGGAGGGGAGAGGAGGGGGAGGAGAGGAGGAGTTAATGCGGAGGAGAGATGGAAGAGAGGAGGAGGAGGACGAGGAGGAGGAGGAGGACGAGGAGGATTACCTTGGGAATTACCCTGGAAGGTACGGATGTACTGAAGAGGACGAGGGGGAGGAGGGGGAATGAATGAATGAAGCCGCGTGTCCGTAGGCACATGAGCAAAGGCACGATCGCGCGCTAGACAATATACTTGCGCACTGCTGCTTTCCAGGCTTCCGCTGAAAAGGTGCCCAAATTACTTACGCTGCAACTGGCATCACGACAAATACGCTGCGCATGCTTATACAATTCTGACGCCCACGCCTGCCGGGGTCTGCCCCTCTTCCGGCGGCCGGGCTGCTGCGTCAAGTTGGAGGAGGAAGGTTGGAAAACGACTTGCCTGACAGGGTGGTCGTTGCATTTGCGCGCAATATCACCGAACAAAATCAATTGCCGCTGCAACAGAAGGTCGCTGAGCTTGGTGCGCCGGGCTCGCTGTAGGACCTCGGCGTTGGAGACGCGACTGACATATGAATGCGCTATGCCTAAAACTTTACGCAGGCACCGCGCCTGAAACGCATTCAATATCGATAACTCGTGCTGACGTAACCAAGACGTGTGGAGACTATATAGGAGCGTCGATTCAACACATGCTGCGTATATAGTAAGCTTCCGCTTGGTCGACAGAGAAGAGTGAGACCAGACGCGCTGCAAAGAGTCAAAAACGGATCGGGCGAGGCCAACCCGCCGGCTCAGCTCTGCTCCGACGGACCCGTCGGACGTCAGGACGCTCCCCAAGTACACCATGCTCTTCTTTTCTGGGATTGGGCAGCCGTCCGGCATGAGCATGGCAGCGGCGTTGCACCCTGTGGCCATGACCTCCAGCTTCTTCCAGTTGTACTTCAGACCGTAGTTGGCGCCCGCGTCCGAGATGGCCTTCATGTACAACTCCGCCTCCGCAGCGCCCGGGGCGACGATCAGCGTGTCGTCCGCGTGCGCCAGGTCGCTGACGTCGCCAGCGGCGTCGCCGAGCGAAGCCTTCGCATCCTGGAGGAGGACAGTCATCATAATGGCAAACAAGAACGGCGATCGGGGGCAACCCTGGCAGATGCCAGCCTGCTGCTCCCGCTGCCCCGAGGTTTTGCCAGCCTCGCGAACTGCGAAATGCCTGTCGGTGCATATCGCCTTGACAATCTGCAACATCTTGTCCGGCAGCCCGAAGCGTCGCAGGGCTGCGACGAGAGCATCGGGCATGACGCTGTCGAACGCCTTAGCCCAGTCAAGCGCAAGAAGCACCAGCGGCTTGTCCTGCCGCGCAAACGCCTCCTCCAATTTGCGCCTCGCAATGAAGATGGCGTCTGTGGTGCCATGCTTTGATTTAAACCCGAACTGCGTCCGCCAAATTCTGTCTTCGGCCCCTGCTCGCTTCAGGCGGCGCAGGAGAAGTGCCGCGAAGAGCTTATATCCGGCCTGCAGCAGGCAGATGGGCCTGTAGTTCTCGCACGCAGACGGGTCGCCCTTCTTGAAGATGGCGATCACCAAGGACTCGTGCCAGCTGAGCGAGATTTCGCCGTCTTCCCAGCATCTCTGACACAACGCAACGGCCCAAGCTCGCGCCGGTGAGTCTCGGCAACAAATGGCTTTCCAGAAGTCTCCGGGGATCGCGTCTGAGCCGCAGGCCTTCTCCCACTTCATCGCCTTTGCCGCTTCGACGACTTCCCATTCCTGGACAAGCCCAACTTCCACCGGAAGCGCGGGGCCAAGCATAGCCGCCTGCATGGGAGTAGTGTTCCGCGCGGCCCACTGCACGCTGCTGAGATAGTCGGCCATTGTCTCCTGGCGGGCATCGGAGTCAACTAGCCCACCCTGCGAGTCTCTCAGCCGGCCAACCTTTGGTGCAAACCCTTTTCTCAATTTACGAACTTGACCCCAATCGCCGGTGGCGAGCAGGTGCTCTAGCCACTCTGCTCGGTCCCTTTTGACAGACAGCTTCACCTGCATATTCAGACTGCTCTCGGCAGCCACGTCCCCGCGGCGCCTGGCGTCCGTGCGCTTCATGATAATGTCCATGCTGCGGTCAGAGACCCATGGCCTCCGCGGCGCCGCCGGCAGGGTAGGGGCCGAGGCTGCGGCCACGGAGAAAGAATCTTTCATGATGGCTTCGATGTCAGATGCAGTCGACACCGGCATGCTGCTCTCCAGCTCCTCTGCGCGGTCGGCGAAGGCGGCGGCGAACCGCTTTGATGCCCCAGGGAGGCGGAGGGCGCGCAGGTCGCGCCGGGCGGCCGGCTGCGGTCGCGACTCCTTGGGGACATCCACGTTGATGTCAGCATATACCAGAAAATGGTGCGAAGCCAAGGCACGCCGCCGGTCACTAGTCAGGAAAATCAAGCTGTCCAACCACTCCCGTGACATCAACACGAAGTCAATCTGTCCGAAATTCTCAGGTGTGGGGATGTCAGACGGCGTCTTCCCGACGTTGTAGCATGTGATCTGCTGGTCAGCTGGGTGATCGAAACGCGTGTTTCCTATGAACAGTCTGTGTCTTGTGCAGACCTCTGCCAGCAGGCTCCGATTGGAAGCCGGATTGCACTCAGCCGTGGGATTGCCGAACACGTAGGGGCCCATGATGCCCTCCTCCTGCGGGAAACGGCGGTGGAGCCGAGCATTGAAATCACCCAGAACCAGTAGCGGACCATGGGACGATATACCAGAAAGGAAAGTACTGAGGTCGCTGTAAAAAGCCCGCCGGTCTTCAAAAGCTTTGCCGCTGTGCGGGGCGCACGCGCTGCAGACCACCATCTTGCCGCCAACGACTCGCAGCTTCAAGTAATCCATGCGGGCCGTCTCCTGTCTGAAGCCGACCACGCTGTGGCGAAGACGAGGGGCGACAATGAAACCGACCCCGGCCGTCTCCTCCTGGTCTGCGGTGGTGCCGGAGAAGATGGTAAGGAAACCGCTTTCTGAGACATGATAGTCGCACCCGGCCTTGTGCGTCTCTTGGATGCAAAGAATGTCGACGTTGAGGTGGGTCATGTGCCACTCCAGCTCTAGCTGCTTTGCGCCCGTGTAGCCCTCCACGTTCCAGGACGCCACCCGGAGCTGCCGAGAGCAAGGACGAAGGGGGCCCCCGCGTAACCGAAGCGCCTCCTCAGCTCTACTGGAATGCCGGGGAGCAGGATGAAATAACACAGCAGCGTTGCCGGCTGCTGCGGACGAGTGTTGGCAATAACGAATTCGCAGCTGGTCGTGGTTCATACGGGCAGTAGGGCCGACTGCCGGTGAAACGGGTGAAACATTTCTCATGCGCCGTACGTCCTAATGGGGCCCCTGCCCCTTAGCACCCCCTTTGGCGCTCCCTTTGGTACCTTTGGCCGCTCGCTTGAGGAGGTCATCTGCCTTCTTCGCGAGGTCCTTGATCAGCGGATTGTCGTGTAGCTCGGACCAGGTGGCCCACTCGCATTCCCAATTGTACTCCACGGAGTTGCCAACGACCTTGACGGTGAGCGCGTGTTCGCCCCCGACAGTCACGATGTAAGGCGCTTCGTTGCTGACCGAAATGCTGTAGGGCACCGACCACTCGCCCTTGAGGATGCGCTTAAGTCCGAGGCAGTAGTTCCGGGCGGCACGCTCTGGCGCAGACCGGTCTTCAGTGGCCCAAATTTTCTTGTCTCCGTTTGTGCAGCCAGCCCTGCGAAGGAGCTCCACTGCCTTGTCGCGCGCCTCCGTATTGAGAAACTCTGCAAACACTATTCCGCTAAATGCCCCTTTGCTGTAAACTTTAGACGGTGGAGGGGCTGAGAGGGACACCAACGTCTTCTCCAACCACTCGGTGGCCTGGGAGAGGTCGCCAAAGCCGTCCATGTTGCCAACGACCATCGTCACGAAGCGCTTGTTCGTCATCTGGCCGTTGGAGGTGGGGGACGCGGTGACCGACGAAGAAGAAGAAGTGCGATTCAACAAGAGCTCCTTGCAACGGCTGTCGATCATAGCCTCCACTGCCTCGCTCGTCAGGGGGGCCTGCCGCATCATGTCCTCCAGCTTGTCTACGCGCAGGTCGGTGCTGATGATTGCCGCCTCCACGTCCTCCATGCGGCTGGACAGGGTCTCGCCGAGGGACGTGACCTGAACCTCTAGCTTGCCGAAGTCGCGGCGCAGGGCGTCCACCACAGATGTCATAGGTGCCAGCTGCTGCTGCAGTAGCTTGGCGATCCCGCCCATCGTCACGGGCTCCGTGTCCATGATGGCGGCTTCGGCACTCGAAAAGTCCGGCTGCCGGATCGGGCTCACGGACCGCCTGTCTTTCATTTTACCCCCGTTGTCCAGCAGGTCGTCGTCGTCCAAGTCGTCCAGGGGGCTACTAAGGCGGGCCCGCTTGTCGACAGGAGTGGCAGGAGAGGCAGGAGTAGCAATGTCCACAACTTCAACTGGCGCTGCAACAGAGGGCGCCCCGCCTAGCACTCCACGCACTGGGGTGCCTGGCTGACGCGTGCTCGCCGGCATGGCAGGCGTCGGTCTCTGGGGATCGGTAAGAGTGGACCCGAATAGGAGTGCCCAACTGTGAGGCCCAATGTAGAGCTCGTCAATTCTCCTTGAGCCAAAATGGCTTGAGCCAGGAGGAGGAGGAGGAGGAGGAAAAAGAAGAGGAGGCGGAGGAGAAGGAGGAGGAGGAGGACAGAAACAGAAAGAAGAGGACGCCGCCGCTCGCGCGGCGCCGCAGCCCGAGCGGACACTGCCGGCGTCACCGGCCGCGGGCTGACTGGGCCGTCCTGCCGAGCGAGCGGGGGCGCGCCGGCGCGGCGGCTGCCTTCACCTTCGCCTCAAGGGGGGGCGTCGAGGTCGTCGCGGTCGTCGCCGTCGTCGTCGTCGTCGTCGTCGTCGTCGTCATCGTCGTCGTCGTCGTCCTCCTCTTCCTCCTCCTTCTCGTCCTCTTCCTCCTCCTCCTCCTCCTCCTCCTCCTTCTCCTTGTCCTCCTCCACTCCTTATCCTCATAGAACACTTTTCCCCGTCGCACCACAAGGCTTACTTTTAGGGCGGGCCAGGGCGTTTCGCCTGAGACTTCCTCACCACTTCTGACCCTGAAGCTTCAACAATGGAAGACATTTCACATATGAAGGGCGGGTCTTTTTCAAACGTAGTTCTCGCTTTAGCGCCGCGCACATTCGTCTTAAACATTTTCGAAAGTTTCACTGGTTGATGGCGAATGGTTTGCAAAATGTGGCTCTCGCCTTAGCGCCGCGCACATTCGGTTTTTGAAATTTGCAAGAGTTTTGCGGATTCCCATGGTCAACGTACCAGAAATTTTATATTGGAAAGAGTCAGGAGTATGAGGGTGCAACAGTCACGTTGATTCACGATGCTGACGTCCCTTGAATGGCGTTCTAGCACAAATCAGGACCGAAAAAGCGCAACAGTCAGGTTGCTCCGTGACGTCGAAATCCCGAGAACAATATTTTGGCATGTTTCAAGGTTTTCCAACGAGGCAGCTCCCTCAGTGGGAATGAACCGTTGTAGGGGCCTATGAAGACGGAGCTTGGAGGGAGGGTTTAGTTCAACATCGCTAATGACTCTTTGGGTTTACATTGGTCCTCCTCCTCCCCTTCAACTCCTCCTCCTCCTCCTCCTCCTCCTCCTCCTCCTCCTCCTCCTCCTCCTCTTTCTCATCCTCCTCCACCTCCTCCTCGACCTCGTCCTTCTCCTCCCTCTCCTCCTCCTCCTCCTCCTCCTCCTCCGCATCTTCCTCCTCCTCCTCCCCCTCCTCCCCCGTCCCCCTCCCCCTCCTCTTCCTCGTCCTCTTCCTCGTCCTCGTCCTCCTCCTCCTCCTCCTGATCCTCCTGGTCCTCCTCCTCCCTCCTCCTCCCGCTCCTCAGCCTCCTCCTCCCCTCGTCCTCCTCCTCCTCCTTCTCCTCCGGCCTCACCTCCTCTCCTCCTCCTCTTCCTCCATCCTCCTCCTCCTTCTCATTCATCCTCATCACCTCCGTTTTCTCCTCCCTCCTTCCTACTCTCCTCCTTCCTCCCCCCCCTCCTCCTCCACGACCTCCTCCTCCTCCTCCTCCTTTTCCCTCCTCCTCCTCCTCCTCCTCCCCCTCCTCTCCCTTCACTTCCTCCTCGTCCACTGTCCTCCTCCTCCCCTCCTCTCCTCCTACTCGTCCTCGTTCCTCCTCCTCCTCCTCTCCTCCTCCTCCTCCTCCTCCTCCTCCTCCTCCTCCTCCTCCCTGTTTTCATCCTCTCATCGGTCCACCCCCCTCCTTCCCTCCACGCCCCCTCCCTCCGTGCTCCCTCCCTGCTGCTGATGTTGCTCCTGCTCTCCATCCCACCCTCCACCGTCCCCCTCGTGATTCGGGGATACACCTTGAAACAACCATGGGGGTATCCTGTGCTGCGAGTGCTCCTGTTCGTCTGCCACTGCGGCATGCCCAACGACACGGTCTTCTGCGCTGCCCCTTCACCAAAGCGGAAACGGAGGTCCGCTTCCGACGACTCTTCGAAGGGAGGGGGCAAAAGCGCAAGTCGCGCACAGGCGGGCATGGGGACATTGAGCGTGCCCGGCGGGGCCTCCCAATCCGAAACTTCACGCGAGCTCCAGCCGCAGACATCTCATGAACAATGAAGCCGAAAACTATCGTGCCCCCCACCTGCTTTTCAACCCCCTCCTACCCTCTCCACTTCCTCCCCCTCCTACCCTCTCCTCCTCCTCCTCCTCTTCCTCCTCCTCCTTCTTCCTCTTCTCCGTAGCCATTTTGGCTCAAGTCGTGTGTTCCGCCCGCTTTCGGCCGCGCGGGACCGCTTGGGATGGCTGCGGGAGGGGGCTCGACGGCGGCGCTGCGCGGCGCCGCTGGAGCCCGTGCGGCGGCGGATCGCCTAGTCGCGCGGCTGCAGAGGCAGTCGGGGGACGCTGACCGCAAGAGGAAGGAGGCGGAGGATGCCCTCCAGGTGATCGTCGGGAACGCCGAGGTCGCCGCCCGAGTCCGCTGCCTGCTGCCAGCTCTGGCGGCGCTGGTGGCGGGACGCGCGCCGACGTGGCTGCAGAGGCTGAGGCGCAACGCTGGCCTACATGCAGCCACGCCAAGGGCGCAGCTGGTGTTCGCTGATGCGACGGCGCTCCGCGTGGCTCAGCGCGGGCCGCGTTTGGATGGCGCTGCGGCGAGCAAGCAAGTCACGGCCGTGACCCACGACGCCGACGCGGTCGAGTGCATCGTGGAGATCTGCGTGACCGAGGGGCTGAAGGGCGTTGTCAAGTCTGCAGCGCTCGTCCAAGGCCCTGCGGTGTGGAACACGGCGGCTCCGCCGTTCGTGCCTGCGGTGCGAAGCATCCTGTTCGGCTGGGCGCTGATGTCGACGAGCTGTTGGCGGTGTTGGACCCGCTGGCGGTAGCCGAGGGCGTACTGCAAGGAAACGATTAAAACAACTTGTCGGGGCGGACGAATTAGAAAATTGTTTCGCGGGCCTCCTCGCCCCCGCAATAGCGGGGGGCTGACAATTCCGGGTTGCCTGGAAGGCCAGGGGGGGGGGCACGAGGTGGCGATCCAGGGCGCGGGGGCGAGGGTGGTGGACGGGGTGACTTTGCAGGGCGAGCTCGTCGTCCTCCTCCTCCTCCTCCTCCTCCTCCTCCTCTCTCCTCCTCCTCCTCCTCTCCTCCTCCGCCTCCCCCTCGCCCCTCCTCCTCCTCCTCCTCTCCTCCTCCTCCTCCTCCTCCTCCTCCTCCTCTTCCCCCTCCTCCTTTTCCTCCTCCTCTCCTCCTCCTCCTCTTCCTCCTCCCCTCTCCGGCTCGGCGGGCAACCCGAACTCCAGATCCGCCCTACTTTGGCTTTTTTCCCAACTTAAGATTGCGTCGGAAATCCAACCCAAAGTAGGGCGGATCCGGAGTCAGGGAAGGGAAGCGGGCGCCCCGCGGCCGCCCCCCCTGGAATTGCGCAACGGCGCGCGCGGAAGAGAATTCTGGCGGAGAAAGGCAAAGCAGGCGGACCGTCTGTGGCGACGAACGTGCCACGTCGTGCTCTGCCATGCGACGCTTTGATCTTGAACGCCGTGGTATGCAATGTTATGTTCGGGGCCGCTGTGCGATGCCATGCTTTGCGTTGCAAAGATTTGGAATGCAATTCTGCACTGCGCCACGCCACGCCATTCTGTGACATATTGCGCTTTGCGGTGCTCTTCAACGCCCTGCCATGCCGTGCTCTACAATGCATCGCGTACCCTTGCGAGATCATTGCCCTGCTCGACATCCAACTGTGCGAGTAGAGAGGGGATCTACGCCATGGTAAGGGATGGGAGGGAGGGGTAGGCTGTCATATATGAAGCGAACGACGGGGGGCGGACGATTAAAAAAACAGTTTCCGGCGGCTGAATTCTATCAGTCCGCCCCACTCAATCATTTTGGGGGGTCCGGGGGGGGGGGGTCAGGCGTTTCTTTTTAAATCGCTTCCTCGCATTAGGCGACGGGAAGGACTACCACGCCGTCGCAGTGCGACGGCGTCTTGTGCGAGGATAGCGCGATCGAATCGATGGAAGTCGAGCCGTGCGAGGAGTACGACACGGTGGAGGATCACGAGAAGCCCAAGATCCCCGCGGAGACCGAGCATGCTCCTGGGCGTGCTTTCCCGCGGGCAGCCCCTGCCGTCCCGCCAAGGAGCGTGGTGGTGCATAGGGGCCTGAACTACCACAGCCTGCTCAGGTCTGCCATTCGACATGGTGGAGGAGCTAGCAGACGGCCCGTGCGACGAGGCTGCTGTGCAGGCGGACGTGAGCTTCGAAGTTGACGAGGCCAGCGGCCGCCGTTGCATTGTCTTGGAGTTCGTGCCGATTGCACGGTCCTGCGTGGTGCACGCCTCGGTCGGCGTGCCGCTGGCCGTGCGCAGCTGAGCTCGTTCCCGCTGTGCTTCTCCCTGAGTAGCACCCTGCTCCTGGTGGTGGAGGTGCTGCTGGGCGAGGTCTTCGCGGGGGCTGGGCGGGGGAGGAGCTCCCACAGGCTCGTGTCCTGAGGGCCTCCCCCGAGGCCAAAAGACGCAACGCTGTTGCTCCACTTGAGTCCTACTTGAGTCCTTCTTCCACTTCTGCCTCCTCCTCCTCCTCCTCCTCCTCCTCCTCCTCCTCCTCAAGCCACGTTGGCCCAAGCATCTTGTCTGGGCAAAGTGCGTCTGACTCCTACGTGGTGCTTGAGGGGCACCAGTCGTTGTCCGCCCCACACATTTCATTTCTGCATTTCTCTCTCTCTCTCTCTCTCTCTCTCTCTCTCTCCCTCCTCTTTCTCTCCCTCTGTAAATATATATATATATTATATATATATATATATATATATATATATCAGAAATCTGTTGCTGAGGCAAGTCAAGCTGGTTGGTTAAAGAGACGCAATCAACGAGATGGCACGGAACAGCAAGAAGCTTGCTGTCGCCGCCAACGCTCAGGGGCAGCAGAAGACCGATCCCTGGAGCAGGTGCGGCAGGTGCGGGCGACGCGAGCGGAAAAAAAGATTTTAGAGAGCAAGCAGCGTGTCTGTCAGGGGTGTGGATCGTGGGTCGCGCTCCACACGCAGAAGGGCAGGCCACCGAAGTCCACGCGGTCGTCCCTGGTCGGCGGGGCCACCCAGATGCGCACCGAGGGCGGCGGCAGGGCCCCGTGGAGGCCTTCGAGACCGCGCTCACAGCTGCCTTCCTGCTGACGATGTGCAGGGGCTTCACGCGCGGAAGTTTGCCGAGGATGCCCTGTGCCCGTTGGATCAGGCAGATGATTTGCTTCGGGAGTTCGACGGATCATTGGCCTTGCGACAGTGGCGCGAGGCTGCAGGTTTACAATGTGGCAGTGGGTTGGACAGCCTCC